AGGTTTGGTTATGCCATTCCCAGAGCTGATAGTGTGAGAAGTAGCAGGGCTTGTCCCGCACACGGAAAACTGACTCAACACTTCGTCTTGTTATATCCTTTGTTTGATAATGAACGTATTCTTAGTGCACAGTAGATATGTGTTACCTTTACGATTTGGGTGATGGCGTGGTATGTGGCTTCCCTTGTCATATTAGAGAGTGATGTCGTGGTTTTATTTCTTCGTATGATTCAGTAGTGAAACGCAATAGACCTCCAATTGATCACGAACAATTGAGGGTGTAGTTTGTTCGTATTGTGATATCTTTGGATCGCCGAAACTCCCTTTAGACGTCAAACCCAAGAGTGTACCTTAAATATCCATGTACCCTATTCCGCTGAGCGTTTATCGACCAATCAGTTCGTCAATACAAAGGCACGGGCATCAATCGGAATAGCCACGTCGTCTATTTTACGCTTTAGATCTGTGATAGGACAGATTTCAAAACGTTTCGTCATGATCACCCCAATCGCAATATTCTAAAAGGCCACACTAGTCACTGATCGTTCTAGTTGTCATACAAACATCATCCAGATTCAACGACAAAGTACAACACCTGAGGATATTCCGCACTGACGATGGCCAGTACTACCTGTGGAAGATCTCCTTTCCTTCACTGAACAAGCTGCTGGCGTACTACCACACCAACTCCGTGAGCCAGAGCGTGTCCGATCTTCGGCTAACCGAACCTCTGGTGAGCGATGCCAAACCCGAGCCCATGTCTTCTGCCGGTGCACCCACGAATGTGGTCGCCACACCCCAAGCAGCAGGATCAGCAGATGGCAAGAGTCTCCGGGTATGTCACTGGGCGCTGTATTGATCTCTTATATGCTTGGGGAACTATGTTTGTCTCGATGTAACGTGCCATGTGTGTAATGTGAAGAGCGTGGTTTATTCTCTTCTCAGGAGTGACCGAGCGTGTTGTATTTCATCGTATGTGCCGTATGATCGCCACACCTCAAATAGCAAGTGCTGCGGATGGCAAGGGTTGTCGGATATTTTGCGGGCTTTTGTGTTTGTTCCGTTGTATCGTACTGTCTGTGAAGTAAGTTTCTCGTTCGTCGAACGGTAGCCGATAATGTCGCATATCATTATATTTAGTTAAGTCGCATAGCATTGTATAGTTTAGTATCATTATATATAGTATAGTAGTATATCATTGTAGAGTTCAGTAGTATATCATTGTATGGTTAGTAGTATATCATTGTATAGTCTAGTAGATATCATTGTATAGTTTAGTAGATATCATTGTATAGTTTAGTAGATATCATTGTATAGTTCAGTAGTATATTATAATATATAGTTTAGTAGTATATCATTGTATAGTTTTGTCGCATATCATTATATAATTTAGTCGCATATCATTACACAGTTTAGTCGCCGCACCCCACGGGATATGTTTAGCGCGTGGCGAGGGTGTTCGGTTGTGGCTAAAACGTTTTTTTTCTTGTTTCGTTGTTCTGTGATGAGTATTTATGGCAGGGGTCGCGTTCATCCCTTTGTGTTACGTTTTGGTCTCCAAATCCCGCTATGTTTATCATGCTCACTGCATTTGGTGAGCTAGTGATTGTGCAATCGTCGATTGTGTGGTGTATATGGGGAGGTTGAGGTTATATTCGTTGCATCACTAGCATATCAATAGGCCACCCGTCTGTCATCTCGATTTTATAGCTAAAGCGTACCAATCAATGTGCGAGAAACTCTCATGTCTCTCCTTCCCACACTCCCATGGCAGAGAGGGGTGTGTGTGTATTATAGTTCACCTTCTTTCAGGTAGATTCCTCTCTCCGCGAGTGTTATGCTAAGATGGTTTTGTGATCCTGTACATATATTTTGCATTTTTGGGTTGTAGGTGGTTCTATCAGCTTCGCCTAGAAATCACTATTTTACACATCTATGTGTGCAATTTCATTTCTGTATATTTGTACAGATACATATTATTAAATCGTATACCATGGATGTACAGATGCGATTAGCAGATTCATATATGCCTCGTCGCACAATATCTCCTAACTTCATCCATCCACTCACAAATCTAACATCCATGACTTTCAAATTCACATTGTCTAACTTTATCCATCCGCTCATATATCTTAACGTCCATGACTTTCAAATTCACATTATCTCCTAACTTCATCCATCCACTTATAAATCTTAACATCTATGACTTTCAAATTCACATTACCTCCCAACTTTATCCATCCACTCATAAATCTTAACATCCATGACTTTCAAATTCACATTATCTCCTAACTTCATCCATCCACTCATAAATCTTAACATCCATGACTTTCAAATTCAAATTATCTCCTCACTTCATCCATCCACTCATAAATCTTAACATCCGTGACTGTCCTAACTTCATCCATCCACTCATAAATCTTAACAT